CACCCCTCTCCAAAGGGCCGCCAGCTCCTGCCTGGGCCTCTCCTGACCAGGCTCACAGGTCCACAGCTCTGAGGCTCAGGTCACCTGGCATGGACCCTGAGCCAGTGTCTCTTCCCAGGGCCACCATCAGCCCCTGTTGGTAGAGCTGGGTGGCCCCAGTATAGGGCTGTGGCCCCAGTATAGGGCTGGGCACATGTGGGCATTTGCCAAGGCCTGGCAGAGTTCCTCTGCCACCTCCCCCAGCCTCCTGGCTACCCCTGGCACTGGCCCCGCCTTCTGTCCCCTCCTCCGACCTCCTCATGGCCCCTCCTGGGCCCCTCAGTCACAGAGAGGCCTGGACATAGCATCAGGTGATAACTAATATCTGCATGACTCTGGGAAGCCACTCAGCTTCTCTGGGCCTCAGTTTCCCCATCTGTGAAGTGGGCTGGCCATGTTTAACCCCTGGAGTTGCCAAGGGAGCCCATCAGGGAACACGGCACCCCTGTACCTCAAGTACTCCCTGGGTGCCTGCCACCTGAGACCACGGAGCCGGCACACGGACCCCCGTCCTTAGAGGTGAAGAGGTGGCAGCTGGTCACGTGCGCAGCACACTCACGTTTTCACGTAAGGGTCCGAGTAGCCGTTGGCATCCATGGCGGCCAGGTGTGCGCACCGCACGATGCCCACCAGCAGGCCCTGCTTCTGCGAGCTGTACTTGAGGGAGATGAGGATGCGGCCCCGCTCCTCCAGGGACTTGTCTTCGGTCTTGTCCACCTGTTGGATGGGACGGTCACTCAGTCCTCACCTGCTCCCACCCCTCTCTTGGCCATACTTGGCCTCCTCTTCCTGAGCCCACCCACGCTCGCTGCTGCAGCCAGGCCCGCTCAGGGTCCCTGGTGAGTGGCCACACTGTGAACTCACAGGCCTCTGTCCTCTCTTCCCTCCCAAGGGTTCTGCTGGGGGTGGATCTGACCCTCACCCTCCCTGTTCTTGGCTGCATGGCCTGGGGTGCCCTTCACAGCCCAGCAAGGGCCAGCCCAGGGATCGGCAACTGCGGCCCGGGGGCCAGATCAGGCCCGACGCCTGGCTCCGTATGGGATGTGAGGTAAGAGTGGCTCTTACCCTTTTTTAAAAAAATTTCTTTTTCAAAAAAAGAGAGACGGGGTCTCACTATGTTGCCCAGGCTGATCTCAAACTCCTGGGCTCAAGGGATCCTCCCACCTCAGTCTCCCAAAGTGCTGGGGTTACAGGCGTGAGCCACCGTGCCCAGCTGGTTCCTTTCAGAATAGCAGAAAGAAAAACGAAATGAAAAATATTTTGTGGCACATGAAAATGATATGAAATTCACACTTCGGCTTCCATTAATAACATGTCATTGGAACACAGCCTTGCCGGCTCCTTGATGCCTTCTCTATGGCTGCTTTTGCTCTAAGGACAGAGCGGCGTGG